CTAATAAGAATATTATAGATTTAGATAAATATTTATCTCAAGAAGAATTTGAGTTTCTCAAAACATTAGATCTAATAAAAAATGATGCTGTATTAGATACTGGTATTCACTTTATTCAAATTAGAGTTAGCGATCCAGAAAGACCTCATGATAATTTAAATTTATTAAGTAATTGGGAAGCCTTAGTTCCATCTATAAAAAATCTGAGATATGAATTTATTAAACCAATATCTGACTATAAAGAATATAATGAAACACCATATATGCCCTAATTATTAGCAAATGCTAGAGATGAAATTACAAGAGTTCTTAAAATCGAGCTAATGAAAAGGAGCATATAAAGTCAGCATTAGTTGCCCTTTGCTATTATGAAAAAGTAAACAAATCACTAAAAAAAGAGAATAAGGAAGATAATAAAATGTATTGTCATCACAGAAGTAAAATGCATTCACTTTTATCAGAAAATGATATAGATGATCATATATCTCAGTCAGCTTCAGAAATAGATAAAGATATTGAGGAAATGTTAAGACGAAGATCAAATTGGCGATTAGTTCAAATAGAAAAATTATATATTGAAGCTTATACATTACAACGAGCTACTAGTGGATCATATATCTCGACTCCAAAAAAGCTTGCCAATACTAAATGCACTATTAATCCAGATAACTCTCAAACAGGTGATGATATGTGTTTAAAATATGCTTTAGGTGCATACTTTGCAAGCAATAGAGGTGAAAATAAAAATTTACAACGTCTTTCTGTTCTTCAACCATATCTGGATATAGTCAATTTAGATGGAATTCCTATGCCTACTCCAATTTGCTCACGTATTTTTAATAAAATTGAGGAGATGAACCCAGATATCTCTATTAATATCTGGGAATGGAAAGAAGAAAAAGCTACTTTCAAACCAGTAATAGCTAGCAAGAACTATAATAGACAACATATTATTGACCTTATGGCTCTTACAGATATTACTAAATCTAAAGATGATAAGTATAGACAAAGAAACCACTTTCTTTGGATTAAAAATTTAGATGGGCTAGTTTTCAAAGATACTGCTCATCATGGTAAAAGATATATTTGTAAAAAATGTACTATAAGCTGGCCATCAAAAAAGTCTTTAGCCTATCATCAAAAGCAC